GGTCGTGGTAAGGACCTTAAAACTAATTTATTTTCAAATTTTGTAGACAGAATATTAGAAGGTAGGATTATAACTTTTGTTATAATGTAAAAAATGCTATTGGCAATGTCTTCTTTTTTTTTGATTTGTGGATTTCATATGCTCTATGGATGAAATGATGTGAGTTGTAAAGTTTAATGATTTTTTCTATGTATTTCTCTTCTTCACCTGCTTAACCAATGAAAATCAAACAGAAAATTCTTCTTCTATATTTCATTCTCTGATGAAGTTTTAATAGAAGTGAAACATGTTAAATTTATAAATTTTTCCTATTTGTTCTTTATTCTATGATTCTGTTGGATTTTCCATATATATATATATATATATATATATATATATATATATATATATATATATATATATATATAATTATTCTGTATGTATGCATATTAAATATTTTACACATACTTTGAAATACTGTGGTACATTGGTTGACTATTATCATTGAGCAGTGAGATAAATCATGACTTAATGCTCCATATCTGTGACCTTGTGCCAAACTAAATTAATCTGAATAAACATTAAAGTTTGAGGTGTTACCTTAGACCAGTATTTCTCAACCATTTTTTTTTTTTTTTTTTTACTTCAGAGTGCACTTGCAGAATAACTAAAACTCTGAGGTGCACTTTCAATTTTAATAAAGAAAAATTGTGAAATTTGAAAATAGGAAAATAAAGATGTCTCCTGACAAACATTTATTTCTAAGATATTACATTGTATATTTAAATAGGTGTGTGTGAACCCCGTGCTTTGGCAATTGTTGAAAGCCTTATATGTGATAAACATGCTCTCATTTTCTCATCAATGCCTTCAATGGTGGTAAGTGCAGAAAATCTTCATTCATGGTGTTATGATATGGAAAATTGCAATATTCAGTGCTTTACTAGCTATTGAAGCATATTCTTATTCAATGGAAATCCAAATGAATACCCACTTTATACTTGATATGTAAGCCGTGAGCAGCAGATATAGTAAACAGTTCCTCTCATTAACAATAAGCCAATATCATCAGTTGAAATATCGACCAACTTAGCCATGTTCTTGGTGTCTCTAACTTTTTAAAAATAATTCATAAATTACTCTTCTGTTAACTTGGGACACATCTGGGGACACCTTTCAGGGTGCATTAGCAATTAAAAGCAATTAACAGTTTAAAGAATAAAAGTCAGATTTTATATTCATTGAGCTACAAAGAATAGGAAGTCGTGGAGAGTCATGGCACATAGAAAAGCAACAACTTAGTCCAGGACATAGTAGTAATTAAGAAATCTATCTTGTATATTTTTCAACTTTATGGATCAAATACATTACCCCCATTGTTAGAAAAAAGAAACAATGCTAGACATTTTTAGAGTTCCAAACAGATTACAAGGAAAATAGTAAGGAATTTTGGTTTTATTTTTATTCTATCAAGTTATACTATATTTATAAGAAAACAATTACAGTGTCAAGCCTGAACAATTGATTTATCATTCAAGACTTTCATTAACTTGAGAGTTCATAGGTACAGGAGCATGGGCACCTAGGGCTTCTCTTGCTAGATCAATTAGGACTGAAAAGTAAATTTGATCCTTGCTTGGTGCCCCATACTTTTGGCCTTGTGCCACATCTAAGCTACACTTTAAAAAAGAAAAAAAAAATTACAATAGATACATGAGCATTTACTGCTATGTTTAAGGGCTGTAGGGAGAGGCCAGTACCGAATTTACCGTTGTGCTTGAGTGTACAGGGCCCCATTGTCCAGGAAGGGGGCAGTGTATGATATCTTTCCATGCCTGTGTGGGCATATCACATCTACCTCCTTCAGGGCCAAAGTAAGGGGCTCTGTAACTTGGGTAGCACAGGGCCTCATTTGTTGTAAATCTGGTGTTGGCCACCACTTTTATTTTTGGGGAAGTTAGATTCAGGAAGTGCCTTATTGGCAACCCTGTGGCACAAATAGCAACAAATAATGAAATTGTCTTTCCATATGCGAACTTACACACACACATAAAAAGAGAGATTGTGATTGTCCAACAACCTGTTTCCGATGAAAAATGAATTTTTACAAGAATTTTTTTTTTTACAAATTTTTTTTACAATTTTAATTACAAAGTTGTTAAATCTTTTAAAATTAAATTTTAGAAAATATTGTTATTAAGTAAAATTATTTTTTACTAATCATAAATCTAAAAACTTATTACAATCTGCAAGTGATGAGTATTTAAATAATGAATTTTATATTGTTTCTGGATGTGTATAAACATGCCTTTAAAAAGTCATGTGTTTTAAGAGTTTAAAATTTCTTAACTGAGATGATATAAAAATTAATAATAAATAAAATACCATAAAATTTAATAAGAGATGTATGTAAAAATTATAGGTACCTTTCTTATTTATGAAATTTTATGTTATATTAATTTTTATTATCTTTATGAAATTTTAAATTTATTTTATTGTTATATAGTATTTTAAAATGTAATATCTTCAAATATAAAGTTATAAAACTAAAGGTATACCAAATCCAAATCAGGTGGTCAATTGTCTAATGGAGTTTCTGAATTCTCTAGAACCTTCCAGACTACCTTCACAAAGACTGGAACTCAAGATGGAGGTGCCTATAATGATATTACAGAATCTGGACACACCAAGACTTTGTAATGACACCAGACTGGTGGTTAAGAAGCTGATGACATGTATAATTGAGTCACCAGTTCTTACTGGGTGTGGAAAAGGCAAAGAGGTTTTTGTTCCCAGGATTCTCCTTATTCCACCAGGGACGTTCAATATTCCATTCACATTTAGGAGACTTCAGTTTCCAATACAAGTAAGTTTTGCTATATCTATTAACAAAGCACAAAGCCAGACTATCAGTTACTGAACTACAGTTAGAAGAATCCTGTTTTTCTCATGGGCAGTTATATGTTGGGTGTTCACGTGTGGGAAGTAAAACCAATTTGTTTGTTTATGCTCTGCAAGGAAAGAAAGAATATTGTCTACCAAGAAGTATTGTAGTGTAAAAATGGTTTAAAGATATTTTTGTCTTTGAATAAATGAATTTGAAATTAAATTGTTGTTATAGTTTTATTTTTAACTTTTTAAATCCCAAGCAAAACTGGGTAGTTATGCTAGTATTATAAAAAAAAAAAGAAAAAAGGTCATATGTAAATAATTTCATAATGTTTCCTTGTATTGTTAATAACAAAAAAAATCTGCTTAAAAGATTCATTCAAGTAAAGTTTAGAGTTCAAGATTATACCTGAAGAGCCATATTTGTATTGTTTAAAGGTGAAAATATTTACACTATTTACATTTGGATGATTACCCTCATCTTTGTTATGTTTCGACCATTGTATCCTCTGGCCTTCTTCAGGTGTATATTGATATGGGTAATTATCATGCTGCTTATCACACTTGACTGCACTCACTGAAGCTTTTCTCTTTTTGTTACAGCTGCTGAAGACTTGCTGTCATTTGTCTTTCTTTCATAGCAGCTCCCAGATGATATTTATTTCTATGCTAGGCCTACTAAGGAGATCCTCATAGCCTAGAATATATGCGGATTCTTTCAGAAGTCTAACTCTCCAGTGTTCTTCCATGTCTAGTATTTTCACTTCATTTCAAAGAGGCTAGTAACTCCTTTTCTCTACTTACATGATCAGCCATGCCCAATTTCATAGTCTCATACCTCACTATGCTTTTCAATGTTCCTCCAGCCTTACTTTTAGAGGGCAGCTTGTTTCACCATTATAATCTTCGCAGTTCTTGTCATGTCCTCCCCCATGTTAGGCTTTACTTGGCAAAGAATTCTTAGTAGAATGGAGAAAATATTTGTACACTTATCTTAAAGTATCAACGGAAAACAGAAATTTAAAAATCTGAAAGGGTTTTAGCAGATGATAGAAAGTGCAACACCAGAATAGCACACCACTTTGGAATAGCAAAACATGCCTTTCAAATGCTAAACAAAGTATGAAGAAGCAGGAAAATTTTGTAACAAACTCTATATAATGTCAATCCTCTTATATGCAAGTGAATGCTGGATAACTTGCTCATAGATGAAGAGGAGACTTGAGGCAACAAAGATGTGGCTCTACAGAAAGATGCTGAGAATACTGTGGACAGAGCATGTAAACAATAAGGAAGTTTTTATGAAAATGGAAACAAAAAGAACAGAAAGAGATAGTTGAAACTTCTGGGACATATAATGAGGAAAGAGTGCATGGAGAATTTGACACTCACAAGACATACTGAAGACAAGAGGGAAAATATGTAACCTAGTTAAGAAGCTTGTGCTAATGAATGGTAGATCAGGGAGTGGGAAAGACAGTAAAAAAAAAACAAAACAAAACATTAGTAATGGATTTTTTAATCCATCATTATTTCTTAGTGGATAGAAACTTGAGAAACGAGATCTTTTTTTTTTTTTTTCTAAATATTGACCCCTATTGGCTTGGGCAATTAAAAATCTTATTAAGGAAGATGTGCCTCTTGGTAGGGATATATGTGCGTGGATGTGTATGTATCTATTGAGAGAGAGTGGGCATAGAAATCCACAATGCATGGTGACTGTATCTTTGTTGAGTATAAGAACCCTCATTGTTCATGAATGTGTGCATGTGATTACCAGAGGATTCATTGTTATTAGGCATGAAATTTTTAGTAGCATTAGTTTTAAGTAGGAGTCATGCATTTATTCTTGGGAGATCTATCTTCAGATATTGTAACCAATTTAAATAGCAAAGCTTCATAAGTTAAAAAGCTAGAGAAAAGGAAATGGAACTAAAAAAACAAGAGAGGTTTGCTGTCTTGACTTTTTATAACTCCTTTACCCCTCTGATATTTGAACATGGGTGAAGCTTTTTATTTTCTTTTGGATTGTGATGTTCACATTATGTGGGGAAGCTAAGTAGACACTACACTATATTAATATAAAGGCAGTGAATTGTGATGACAAAAGAAAAGCGAAATTAAAAACTCACCCTCTGATTTGGTGAGTTGAAAAACAGATGATTCACTCGGGGTACTGCGTCCCAATCCATTTCGAGCAAATACCCGAACTTGGTATTTGGTATAGGGGTGAAGCTTCCCAATTTTGGTTGAATTAAAGATGCTACCCACAGTAAGTGAACGCCCTTCACTCCAATCTTCATCAAATGACCTGTAAGAAACAAAACAAAGTGACATCAAATAGAAAATTTTTTGTAGTTTGTAATCATTTACATTGAAGTTGATGATCTAGAATTCAAAGTTAAAGCTTTATTTTATACATTGTCAACAAATAGTTCATATGCCTAAACAACTATTTTCAAGTTCATTTCTTTGTTTTTATATATATATATATATATATATATATATATATATATATATATTTATTTATTTTCAAAGACAAAATTTTGACAAAGTGGAAAAAGCTTTCTTCCTTTAGGACATTATCAGATTGATGTTTACATTGAAGCAACTACACGAAGGAAGGGGAAAGCCAAGAATTACAAATATAATTTTTGTTCCTTTTTCCATCACTTTTCTTATAAAATGTCCCACATTGTGATAATAGAAGATCTGCCAAACTGTTTCCATACATATATATATATATATATACACACACACACACACACACACACACACACACACACAGCATATCTTCATTCAAATATGTTTCATTGAATAAGATAGACATATTATGTCTATTTATTTTTATGCTGATCCTTTCCAGTTCTCTAATCAGTTTCTTGATGTTAAGATGAAATTTGTCAAGGAAGGTGCTGGAGTTTTTTCCTACCCACGTACTTTTGATCTCATTCAAGATCATCCACAGAGATGAATTACAAAGATAAACTTATTGTAATAGTAATTGTTTTAATAGTGATTTTTAAAAAAAACAAAAAAACATGTTAACTCATTCTGTTATAATTATTTTAAAATTTAATCAATTTAATAATTTATCGATTGTAGCTATAGAATCTTTTGCAAAACAAACGGCTCAATATAAAGGAGTTGACTTGAAATTTTATCACAGTTACAATAAATTTGCATTTTAATTCACCCCAGAGGATGATCTTAGAAGATCAAACTTACTGGGCAGTTAAATAAAAAATCAACTGCCCTCCACACAAAATAATGAAGAAGGTTGCAGTCTGGCGATTTAGGTGGTAATGTGGTCACAGAAATTGTCTGACAGCCATGACTGGTTTCTCCTGCTTGTATGGCATGGTGCAGAATCCTGTTGCTAGATATAGGGTCTTCCAACGACCCTCTTGACCCAGAGTAACACTACCTCCTCAAGGCACTTGATGTAGGCCTCCATGTCTGAGGTCCTCACCAACAAATTTGGGAGTTCTTTTCTTGTCAGAATAATCAGAATGAATTTTCTGAGCTACCATACCTTCGTAATCACCATTAGACTCATCCAACTCTTTACAAATCCTTTGCACTGTCCTCAGATTGACACCCAAACACTCTAAAATGTTTGTATTGGAGCTTCCAGCACAACTGCCAAGCAGTGCAGCATGCAGTTACCATATTTCTGGTGAAGTGAATGGTGCTTTTTTTTCTCACAGTGCCCAACTGACTCTACTATACTGTATAGTTGACAAAATCCAAAACAAACAACGTGCATGTGTGAAATTCAAAAAGATAAAATTGCTGAAAAGAAATTTTTTTTCAATAACTGAATTTAAAATAGCACCAAAGAGGGGAGGAGGGAAATAAAATTTTTTCCTAGTTTGGCATAGAATTAGCAATGGATTCTCCAAAATGTGCTAATTTATATTTTAATTCTCTGCATACATGGGGTCAGATGTTGTATATTAATGTCAAGGTGGAGTCTAGTCTGTGCCCTGTGCCAGACAGAGAAGAAATCCTGAGAGTAGTACATCCTGCAAGCAACAAAGTTCAATAAGTGCTTGGCAATAGCAGACTCATGAGCCTGTGAGCACCTAGATGTCACAGGCATATGTCTATGTATTTGGCCCGTGACATGCTGGGCAATTCTAATCTTGCCCGCATAGTTGTTTATCAATATAAATGTCGGTATAAGACTAAGCTCCGTGTAAAAAAAAAATAAATAAAATTGCAAAAGTATATAAATTAAATGTTAAAATTGCGCCAATTGGAAGGAAGATTGTATTTTTCACCATGCCACATTGTTACTAAATGTGACACAAGGTCAAAATTTAGAGTGGGTACACCAGCAATACCATGGAAAAATTGGCCAAGCCTCTTTAACACTTCCCCTTTTGGGGGCACCTCAGGTGTGCCAGGCAATAAATCTAGCCCCCTCCTGAAGAAGAGGTACTGCCTAGAGGGAAGGGGCCCCCTGAAGCTTGGACTTAGAATTGTTTGAACTTTCCCCAACCTCCTGAAAGTGTCGTAGGAAGTGATTTGAAGGAAGTTATTTACAATGAGCTTCTACAAAAGAAGAGATTGATTTTGAAGAAGTACTACATCAACTGGACTATGCAAGGAAACATATTTTGAATTAGTTAACAGAAAAGATATAATATTGTGTCTTTAATGAACCAGCAAAAATCAGTACAATGCATAAATTGCTATCATATATACACCCTTAGTTTGGGGTTGTTACAGTAGATATTTGCAGTTGATTTGCAGATAGGCAAATAATAATAATATAATCCGAGGTGTTGCATGGCCCTTTTTTAACATCATATATAACCTATAATACAATTATAGTAAATTCAGAGCCAAAATTGTCTAAAATTCAATAAAATATTAGATTATGAAGAATATTTTCTTAAATTTTTTAAGATTACCAAGTACTTAAAAGGTGTTTGCGTTATATTCCTCAATTATTTTCTGCAAGGTTAAACCCAAGGTAGAAAAACATTAGATAGAAAATCAAGCTTGTCACAGAGCTGTTAAAAAGCTGTCAGCCTAAATGGACTGTAGTGTTGAAAATGCATTTCTGCAATATTAAAAAAATAAGTGTTGTTTTAAATCAGATTAATTATACTTATATCAGCTAATATTTCTCAAATAAAGTTTCAGAAAAGTGTATTTTATTTTTGGAAATTTTTTTTAATAAAGAGAATTGCTAAAAATGGTACAAAAAGAAAATTTGTTATGGTGACCTATCTACATTAGAATGAACTCTTTCTCCTTCATAAATACTAACCTGCGAGACTTCTTAGGCAGGCAGTTAGGACACAGTGTAACCTGACAGTTCGGATGTACACTTCTATCTGCTGACTAGTAACACTCTTATTTTGTATATATATTCCGTTATTTCAAGACACTTGTTCAACCAACCTTCTTCTTTCTGTGTCTTTCTTTTTGGCCCCTAACAAGTCACAACAATTTCTCCCAATCAATTTAAATTAGTTTCAAAATACGGCATAGTATTTGTTTACTGAAATATTAAATTTAATCTCACAGCTTAAAACTGAAAATAAAAGCTTCAAGAAAGATTTTTCATTATTAAAAATTCATTTTAAACATTAGGTATCACGTTTTTGTGGAGGTACTTAAATATATCCTATGTTCAAATTCCAATGTCAAAAGGATTAAAAAGCATTATTAAAAGAAATAAGTTATTCAAATAAAAGATTTTAAACTCTTTTGAAAGCAAGCAAGCCCAAGAAAGGAGTAATGTGTCTGATGCAAATAAGACTTGCTGGAAATAAGAAAGAAAACAATAAGCAAATAGTACATACCTAATTTGTACAATATAACTGGTGATTGGGCTGTTATTGTTTACCGTTGTGGGAGGCCAAGACGCCTTTAAGTAACGTGATGATACTTCGATAATCTCAGGTTTTCCTGGCGGCTCAGGAACAGCTGAAAGAGAAAACAAAAAAAATCATTTAATTTCCATGTCAATTTATAACAGAGGTAAACATTTAGTGCAGTTGTGAAAAATAATTTAGAAAAGTATAAAGAAAAAGAGAAATTGAAATTTATATATATATATATATATATATATATATATATATATATATATTAGGGCAGCAACCTTTCTTCAAATATTTTTCATTAAATACGGCAGACAAGGAGGATTTAATTGATTTTTTTTTCATTAAGTTTTTCAAGCATTCTTATGTTTTTCCAATTTGTAGGAGTAAGGGAATACATTTCCATAATTTTTATTGTCCAAAGCGCTTTTGGCTACTTCTATTGCCATTTTCAAGGGTATTTTGTCTCCTCTTCTGTTGTTGTCATTTTTTCATCATGTTTTGACTGTTAAATTGTAATTTAATATTGCATTGTTTTGAATAGGAGTATTCATTCCAAGCCTTCACGTGGCTGGAACTCATGTGAACATCTTTCTATTTTTAAAAAAAACTTTTAACACTTCATTTCTCCTATTGAATAATATGAGGTTGATTGTAGGAGACAAATGTTTGACAGGGTCCCTCTCTCTAATACTGAGATGTTTCTGATAGTGTGATTTATATAGAATTCTAGTTTATTTTATTTTTTTTTACCAGAATTTTTCTTAAGGGTTCTTGTAAATTATGGATTGGTAGGTGTTTCTTATAGTACTTTGGTCTGATAAGTGACTTGTGAGGTGTCTATTTAAGGAGGTGGTACTATGTCTGATATAGGTAAATGATTTGCAACAAGAAACAGTCTTGTACTGTGCAATGAAATTGATACACTACATCATACTTATTGTAAAACTCAGGTTGTGTGTATGTATGTGTGTGTGTGTGTATGTGTCTGTTAGTTTATATATTGGATCGGATTTCCTACATTTTTCAACAGATTTCAACAAAACTTCACAGGACTACGTAAAATTACCTTGTGGTGGTTCTGACAGCACCAAAAATTGGAAAAACACAATTGTTTTTGCACAAAATCAATTTGAAAACACGATTAAGAGGCATTAATGAAAGGGGGACAACTCATATCGAGTTATACTTATTATAAAACCCAGGTTGTTTTTGTGTGTTTCTATGTTCGTTTATATATGGGATCGGATTTCCTACATTTTTCAACCGATTTCAACAAATCTTCACTTTTTTTTGGCAGGTAGTGTTTCTTATTGTCTTGCACACTTTTTTCTTTATTTTTACATTCAGGATGATTTAAAAATTCCATTTACAAGACAATTGTTTATAACAAAATTCTATTCAATCGGTAGACTCATAACGACTGAAAACAATGGTTTTGTTTCAGTTTGGGTTTGACCAATTCGTAAAAAAAAAAAACTAATTAAGATATGTTTGTCCATCAACCTTAAACAATAATTTTCGTCAATTTTATTTTTCAGTCTTTATGATGGTTGATACTTGATCTATTTTTTACTGTTACATCCCCAGGCAACGCCGGGCTCTACTGCTAGTTGGTATATATATCTTGAAGGTGACTTAATGTTATTTAGATGATAAACCTTAGTTTGAGATTTCACTCCATATTGAGTATTGGGCCACAGCCTTATCATGGTAGGTGTTGCTTCTGTTGGTTTTCATAAACTGCAATACCAAACTCCAGCAAGTTCAAAAATTTAAATATTTAGGAAGTTTTTTTAACAGAGAACAGAAAATATCAGACTGAAATCCAAAGTGCTCACTGTAACAATACTGATATCAACAATGTTGATATAACAAATGCTACTGTAATTAAAAGAGAAAACAATTCACTAAGATGAAAATGTATAGAAAGTGCTTTAATTGCTAGATCACCCACAGTAAATTTACATCCAGGTCTTTATGTTTCACCATTCTTGGCAGATCTTCTATTATCACAATGCTCATACACATGCACATGTGTAGTCACATCAACATAAACATAGTCCAATGAAGTCCTAAAGGATGAAACATCACACAAAAACTTTTTGTGGATATATCAAAATAAAATTCAACAACATTTACTCGGTTTTGTTTATTAGACATTAATTTGTGTTATTTAGTATCCTCCATAATTTACCTAGACTTTTCAGTTAACCCTTTGAATATTTATTGCATAAAATAAAATCCTTACATTTGCTTTTACAAGTGTTTATAAACAAAAATAAAAATGCTGTTAGCTTTTCAAAATTTTTAAATTTAAGAGATGCTCATGAAAAGCAGGAAGCTGGAAGATAGTTCCACAGAGTTGATAGAAGAAACTGTTAGCATAGAACTTACAGTTAGTTTAAAGGGATGATTCTTTGTTGCCAATCTAGTACTGCATTTAAATTCATAAAGTCTAGGTACCATAAAGGAAAGATCATCAGGACAATTGCCATGAAAATATTTATAGAAAAGGCAGAGGGAAGCTACATTATGACACTGGGAAAATAAGTGAAGCAGAGATGCTAAATCAGGACCAATAACTTTGTAGATTTTTCTTTGTATTTTATCAAGAATACACACACACACATATATATATATATATATATATATATATATATATATATATATATAACAGAAGCACAAGACCAGGTGTAGCAGCAATATTCAATGCATGGATAGAATTATAAATGTTTAAGTTATATTCTGGCAAGAAAAATTGTCTAGCATAACACTGTCAACCAACTTTCATAGTAGCAGACTTAGCAATTGATTCAACATAATCTTTCTACTTCATCTATGGGGAAAAATGCTAGCCCTAAGAGATTATATATAAATATCATATTATAAAAGCATTTTATATTTAAGCTTTTCTATACCCAACCAACAATAATCTTTCTATGCTTTTTTACAATTTTCATTCTTAATAGGAAAGATATTTTTGTTATCCAATGTTTTAACAATAAATATAAAAAGAACGATAAGCAAATAGTAATCGGAAAATGTGGTCATTCATTTGCTACCACATGAGCCATTATCTGACACTCAAACAGTAATCCTCATGAAAAGCAAATAAAATTCTTGAATAATTGCAAGAGTCTAAGCAATCTGCAATTGACTGATAATTAAGTGGCTTCAAGAAAACTTTTTTTTTTTTTTTTTTGCAAGAAGGCAATTACTGTTTTATCATCCATCATTTATAGATTTTACATTTGATATTATTAACATTATAAAATGACTTGCAGCTAGCAGGGGGAGAGCAAGATCTGATGGTCACCCTGAGCTAGGGGTTTCTTTTTTTCTCTCTGATGATGAAACATTTACATGGATTGCAGGTTTCAGATTTAAACTCTATAAAAGAATATTTACACTATTTACATTGTTGTCCTCATCTTTATTGCCATATTCACAACGTTTCAGCCATTGTATGCTCCAGCCTTCTTCAGGTGGCATAGGTTGGAATTTCAAACCAAACCCTTTATTTCATCCACTGAGGTAGACACAGTAGATAAAAACAATCGTTGAAGTAATCCAGTGACTCAACTCAGAGTTGTGAGTTCAATACCTAGCCACAGCAGAGGTGAACAAACAATTTGAAGTGTTGAGTTACTAAAGGGAAATAACTGAAACTGAGATATCCAGAAAAGGCATGGCACATGGAACTAGAACAATCTACTCCAGTGGATGAAATAAGGCTTTGATTCAAAATTCCAATGTATATGACCTGAAGAAGGTTGGGGCATACAACAGCCAAATTATTGTGAATGTGACAATTAAGATAAGGACAACAGTTTGAACTATGTAAAAAGACTTAAATTAGTTTAAAATACTGTATCTTATTAACCATTTTTATATATATATATATATATATATATATATATATATATATATATATATATATATATATATAAAATGATTAATAAGATCCAGTACTATATATATATATATATATATATATATAAACAAACACACTTTTTTTATATTATCATCTAATCCTCAATAATACAAATGGAATTGTTTCTCTTCTTCAACTTATGCACCCTCAAGCAGGATTTGAACCTGCTCCCCTTGCAGGAGAAACTGTCATTAAATCCAATGTGCTTTAAAGTGAATCAGCAACAAAATTATACATAAATTTGCAAACTGTGAGCAGTAAATATTTTACAAGTGTATTCTGCTTGGAATGTTAATTACTCTTTTTAAACTGTTCATAAGTTACAAAGTGAATTTTTAGAAATTCTATATTCAAATTCCTGAACTGGAAATAGGCAGGTAAATGACATATCCATTAGGCAACTATTTTCCTGCTTGTATACATGGAGAAATTATTGGAGAAATAATATGAGTATTTTTTTATTTTTTTTTTTTTAAGGTTTGTAGCTTACTTAAAGCCAAGAAATATTTTTAGATTGTAAGAATTTTTGAGATAATAAAGATTTTAGTGATACCAGTCTTATTAATTAGCTGGAGGGAGAAAAAGTGGATTGATACCTTTTTCTCATCACATAAGTGAATATAATGAACCCAACTGGAATTGGAACACAGGTCTTTGATTTCCAATTCCAAGCTATTATACATTATACCAGCTGCACACCCCATGCTTACTACAGGACACCTGGTATTTCCAAGTGGCTACGCAGCTAGGTGCTGAGCAGGCTCATTGTTGCTTAACTTTGGTGATCATATAAGAACCTGTGTTTCAAGGTGATATGGCTGTAAGCCATGCAGCAGTCAATGTGGTAAATATACGAGGGAACAAAGACAGTGTGCCGTTGTTATAAGAGTTACGTTTTGCTCTGACTCAGAGAAGAAACAAACAGAATATTGCCTTTATTATTGAAAATGTCAAATTCAAGCAGAAGAAAGAACAAAATAGGATATTATAAATAAATTCCAAATTTGTTATCGAGCATTCAGAACTCTACAACATTTTATTTGTTTTCAATCGTAACAAATTTCTTTTGTTTGCTTTATCTTCATTTTTATACAAGTCAATGAAAAAAAAACCCAGAAAAACACTGATTGGTGTGAGCTGTCTCTATATTGTAAGAATTTGAAAAGTAAAGTATCATAATCCTTTGCGTATAGATTGCTGAAGAGCAGAAAAAGCTGTTAAAAACAGTGAAACTTCAGCACAAAAAGTTTATTTTCATGTATAAAACACACCTGTATGTAGAGCAAAGAAAGTGACCAAAACTTGCATAAAAGGAAAAAAAAAAAAAAAATTTAAAAAAGGGGGCATTTTGCTTACATTTGTGATTCCTGAGAATTAAGAAAACGTGATAATGACTCTTTGGGGAAATAAGGTCACTAAATTGCCAATACAAATTGAGAAAATAAATCAAAATAAAACTAATTAAATATTAACTTCGTGGCTTGGTTTTAATTTTTTTAGTGACGTTTTAAGGTATTTATTTCAAAATTATGTAGTCCTGAAAAGGATTGTGAGGAATTCAGATCATTTTTCTGTTCTCATGGGCATCCAAGATCCGAGACTGGAAGGTCATCCTTTTTGAATCCTTTAAACTTGCCTTTGTCATCAAGACCTGTAGAACTGATCGAATTCTTTATCAAGTTGGGGTACAGATCTGAGTAGTAGGTATAGTTGGCGAGATCATTATTGTCAGCTTTTTGTGGTTCCTTTATTGACTCTCATTTCTGTACAAATTCCTTGTATAGGATATCATCATCAGCAGTGTCATAGAGTTTGTTTGAAATGCAGCATTTCTTGATGTCTTTGACAATGATAGTGGCATCCAACTATTTCCTAGGCATTGACAATCCACTTGTAGTTGTCTTCAAGCACTGGTTTTATTATTCTGCCTCCCAATGTGTAGATGAGATTTATTTCCCTTTGTTGCAATATGCCATTATATCGATATTAGCCCTCCAGTAAACAATTAAATCCAATTTAACTGGACTTTGGCGGCCATTTTGAGTCCTGGAAAAAACTGGGATCAAGATCTAAACTAAAGTAGAAAATGAAGGATTACAGAATTAATTTTTTTCCCCATTTATAACAAGCAAGAATAAACTACCTGTATTTTATCAGTCCTGGAATTATCTGACTCCTTTTGGCATGCTTTAGCTTTACAAAAGTCAGATTAGACCAAATTGCTGAATCCTCACTTTCCAGCCATGATAGAATTCAGAATTGTTCATGTAGTCTTCTGTGGGAAGATTTGTTCTCCACTCAGCAACCACTTCCCCCCCACAGGCATTTCCCTTTGCTAGTTTATCAATATTTTCACAACAAATGTTCAGATGAGTTCAGGCCTTCACAGCTAAGACACACCATGCTACATACATAGAGTCAAATCATCCTTGTATATTCTGTATACCAAATGTATTTTTTTTTGGGGGGGGGGGTTCTATTTGCCCCCACTCACCAACAACTACCTCATTGGGGAATAGACTCTTATGTGGATGCTTCTCTGATCACTACAATTTTAACCTCAAGTCAAGAATCAATCATAATCTATCCTCCTTATCCTTCACTTCCTACCACCTTTTATTCAGGCCATAGACACACACACCTAATTAATTGTAACCATCTACCATTAGTGACTCTCAAGCATCGTATGCGGGGAACACTGGCATAAAAATTCTTCTAAGAGGAGATTATCATTAGGAATGGATGACGTAGATGGCAGACATACAATATTTAGCACTAAAGAACATTTCAGAATGGTCTCAAAAATAGAAAAGATGCTTTTATTTTCTTTAATTTATATCAATTACGATTTTCAAGTCGCCTTGAAGACTATGTATTCAGCAAATAATTGTTACCTTAACGATAATTAAATGCTTCCTCAATCAATAAACTAGGCAGGATGGTCACTCATAAACTGATACAAAAAAAAAAAAAAATTAATGATGCTTAATTGAATTGAAAATTGTTAGGAAATACTTCAAGTGAAAAGATCTATATTTGAATGAGAAGCAAATGAACATTAAAATCATTTTCAATTTCCTTTTCCTTACACTTACAAGAACATTTTACACTCAGATTTGCTCTTCATGAAGAGAGGTTCTTCGGATTTGGTGAGACGAATCTTTTATCTATCTTCAAAAAACCAACAATTAAATATGATAGCACCGAACTGTTATGTATCAGTCCTTCAATATGGTGGTGAATGCTGGACAATCTTCTCACAGATGAAGAGACTTCAAGCAACAAGGATGTGGTTCTATAAAAGCATGCTGAGAATACCATAAACCAAACATGTGAGCAACAACATATTTTTAGAGAAAATAGAAACAAAAAGGACACTTATACTTAATATCAAGAAGAGAGTGTTGAAATTTCTAGGGCACATAATGAGGAAAGAGGGCTTGGAATATTTAATACCCAGAGGGACAGATTGAAGGCAAGAGGGACATAAAACAATGCTACTTAATGAGTTTTTGTAAATGGATGGTGGAACAAAGTTTAGGAGAGATAACAAAAAAGAAAAAAAATTATTAGGAGCTACAAAGGACAGGAAATTGTGGAGAGCTATGATCACCTGTGTCCTAAAGAGATACAGCACATAGAAGAAGCAATTTAAGTATCTATGTAAAACCTCCCATAAATTTTTACACTTGTTCCTTTACATGATCTTCTTGGATTATTATATTTAGGAAATGTGACTGGATTAAAAGTTAGAAGTATGGAAAACGGCATCTGTGAGTCAAGTTCAAATTTTGTCTTAGTTCATTTCATTCACTTTGCACAAATACCAATGAGAAATTAGCACTTTGATGTGGATTAATGGTTAGCAAGTTTGTCTCGCTAATTCAATTCCAACTGGGTAGTGTGTTTGATCCTCACTGGGAGCTCTATACTTTCAGCCTTGTGCTACATCAAAGCTACACTTAGAAAAGTCACCAAATACCCTTTTAGACAGACAGAAAGCAATCTCTTCTTATAATAGGTAAGGGCTAAATACTAGAACAGATGATCAATTGGTTTGGTTGGAAACTACTCTTCTACAATCTTTACATTGCTACCTAATTTTTTGTCCACAAAACCATTAATTATTAAAGCTGGTTCATGAGGGTCCATTTTTTTTGGGGGGGGGGCAGTACCTCCTGATTGCATTACTGAAGTAGTCAGTGAGTATATCCTGTTGTCTGCAATAAACTTTGGTGAAACTGGAGAGTTTTTGCCTTTAGTTACATACACATGCAACCCAATATTAAAATGATTTTATGTATTTGCCTTTTTGGAATGGTAAATAAATCTTCTGGAGAGACCTTTTTAATTAGTAAAACCAGAATTTAAATAATAAGGTTTCTGAAGTTTAAAATATAAGCAATATAAAATTAGATAGGTTTG